GATTGTACTTACAATCAATTAATTAAATCTAAAATTTTCAAATTTGCTTTTTATTTGTTGCTTAATAAATGCTACTGCCTTGCTAACTTGCCTTTTTTTTTGTTTTTGTTTATCTTTCATGTCAGTTCAAGCACGCATAATGGAGCCCCCGAGCAAGCATAATGAAATGGAATATAAACAAAGTTATACTTTCTGTTTGAACAATTCATAGAAATTTTATATAGATGTAAATTACCATATGAAAATCTTGCAGTAATGTAAACCAAGATTAAAACCGAAAGGAAAACAAAACAAAAAAAAAAAAAACGCTTATATTTTAAAATGTCTTGTGTGCATACAATATTTGTTCATTTAGGAATTTTTCAGATGATAATCTCTATTTTCTTCATACTATTTACTTTGCCAAATATACATTATTATGTTATACACATGCTGGCCAATGAATTCTTTGAGATTTTCATTTGAATGCATGCTAGGGATGAAGTACGCAAATTTTTTATTGCATGGGTTACGTGTGGTTAGAATGCTAGTATAAGTAGGTTGTAAGAGTGCTTTTCCCAATGAATAAAGTAAAATGGGGAAAACGCCATTTGAAAAAGGGCTTATTATTGGTGCCTGTTTAGCAGGGGCCTTGATTTCAAAGACAGTCAATCTCACTAAAACAGCCATATCAAAGGCTTTTCAGAAGTTGGAATCTGAACCCACAGTCCTTCTGTAGAAGACATAACTGCGGTTCGAGCACAGTTTTCCGAAAGTGTGATCGCCGTTGTCTCCAGCGAATTGTATGGCAGAACAGGGACTCAGATGGTCAACCAACTCAGATGGACTCAGATTGTCAACTCTGACACAGATGGTCAACCAAGGCTCTTTCAAATAGATTTCAGCTCAAACCATGCTCAGAGAATTGCAGAGGATAGGAATGCATAGTCGGGTGCCTGTGAGAAAAACACCCATTTCTGCCCAACATGCAAGAATTTGTTTGCAGTGGTGTTGGGAAAGAAAACACTGGACATCTGAGGATTGGAAACGGGTAATGTGGTCGAATGAATTGCTCAACATCTTATTTTGCACTGATGGAAGACATCTAATTTGACAAGAACCCCATGAAGATGAATCCATCTTGCCTTACTCTCACTGTGCAAGGGTCTAAGGGGAGTATCGTAATATGGGCATGTTCTACTGACATGGAAGTGGTGCCCTCGAGGGTAAGCAAATAGTCATGAGATACCTGGATATTCTGGCAGATCAAGTGCACCTTGCAATGTTGCATTTTTACCCTAATGGCAATGGATATTTCATGGACTATAATGCAACTATACATCATGCCAGAATTTTCAAAATTGGTTTCCTGAACATCAGTCTGACTTCCAACACCTTCCCTGGCCACTGCATAGCCCAGATATTATTCCCATAGAAAATGTGTGGGATATATTGAAAAGATGCATCTGACAGTACTGTCCTCTTCCATATAATTTACAAGATTTAAATGCACTCCAGAAGCATGTAGACTCAATGCCGAAATGAATCAGAGCAGTTATCCATGCAAAAGGTGGTCCAATAAAATATTGATCTTGGGTTTCTAATTCATTGGCCAGTGTGTGTGTGTATATTGCAACTTCTTGTTGGCTGAATGGGCAGTGTTAGTTTTCCAACATTGGTAGTTTATAACTCATCCATTTATAATCTGATGTTAAAAGGGATTTTTGCTGTTTCCCTCATGCTAAAAATGAACAGAAAGAAGTTCCTTTTAAAGATCTTTGAGACAGGATAACATGTTTAATGCTTTATATAAAAATTAACGTGTCAATTTCTTTGTACATCATCCCATGTTTTTTAGATCAAATTTTTATAAACCCTGTTTTGGAATGCTCAGTTCTGTTATTCATGGTAAAAGCCTGCTTTCCAATGGCACCTGAATCATTAATTAAAAAGCTATTAAGCGTAATGTATATCTTAAGATGATTATAATCCCCCAAAATTCGGGAGAAATGGCCCCTCATATCATAAATTTCATACTGATTTTCACTTTTTCTTATAGCTATACCATGCATTTTCTTATAGCAAACTGAAATGTATCTAATCAACAAATAGTGCAGGTGAAATTTTCATTTGCTCAAGATCATAATCTTCATATATTTCAGATCCAAAATTTATTTTAGCAGTCAGTTGCTGTTTTTTCATACCAATCCACTGTACATTTTTTGGCTTTCTCATGCTTACTTTATTTATCTCTATGTAAATTAATTTTTAAAAATGCTAAATAGGTTGTGTCAGAATTACTGTGGAGAAAAGTTAGATTGTTTAACTATAACAAAGCACATGAGATTTATCAAGGGTCAATTTACGAAATTTTGGAACACCCAGCTGGGAGATGTGGCTCCCTAACAAGTTTTCTTTTGAAATTATAAGTTCTGTTGAAATTATATCTGTGGCATGGTCAGACTGTTATGTAATTTATTATCACTAATCCTTTTATTTTTAGTGCATGCAAGATTTGAAAATTTTAAAATACAAAAGTATTGTGTCAGTGAGAAAGTCAGCCTATTGCGCAGTTGTGGAGCCCATTAACCGGTCCTAGGTCTATCTGCCTAAGAGGAGGAATACCGTCATGGAAGATTTTTAAGAGCAATTAATTTATATTCATGTCACTCATGGAATAAAACAATCATGCAGCCAGTGCATTCTCCTGGATACAAACCCAGCTCAAACTACCAGGATTTGGTGATCTTAACCACTCTGCTATTAGTGGGGACAGTAATGAGAAGGAGGAATCAGAAATAAATTTTAACCATGAAAGCATGCAAATGAAAAAGAAGAGAACTACCCAGATTTTACTTTGAAAAGGAAAATTACGAGTGAAAGTGCTTTTCCAGTATTAGTTAATATGGTAGATTTGTGCAGATATTGCAATATATTGCACATATACTACATTGTACGATGAAAACTCATTTCAAATGACAAAAGAAGCCTAGAGCTTAAAATAAAAAAGAAAAAAATGTATAAAGTCATAACCATATGAATTGTTGAGTAATTTAGGGAAGAAAATAGTGTATTTTTCTTTTGCAAATAAGAATATATATTATTTCTGTATATGGAACTAATATATCATTCATTTTAAGGTTCCTAAAAAGTTTTGTAATTTTTAATAAATGGCAGAAAGAATTTCATAGCTGGTTAATTGTTTTAATACCTAGCTTCCAAATTGCTAAGTGTAATTTGTGCTGCCGATATTTGAAAGTCATTTAATGAGGAAACTAATAGGTTAAGGAGAACTGTAACAAATAATTGTTTAGGTATTTATGGGATCTTCCTTGAATTGAATGAAGATATGTTTGAGTTTTTAATTTATATTTCACATTTTTGGTGACATTAGAATTTGAGAATATGTGATCTTTTATACATTGACTCCTGAAAGGTATTTCTTGAAAGAATGTGATTGGTCATACATCATGTTCTTGGTTTTACTATGGTGTTGTACAGGTAGTACTAAATTTATTGTCTGTGATCATTACACTCCTAAACACTATAACAGATTTAAGATTTTAATACAATGTAATAATATATAATGAAATTATAAATCTGAATTTAAGCAAAAAAAAAATTCACTCAATATGATTACATGTTATTAGCTTATTCATCATAATGTCTTGCAAAATTTGATGTGATTTAAATTCTTGTAGTCCCTCTCTTTTAGGAATATCAAGCGTCTGAGAAATCCTGGTTGAGAACCTTTGATATAATGTGTAAATTGAATTTAAATTATTGCAAGTGGCTGTAATTATCACTGTTTTAAAGAGTAAATTTATAACTTAAGAGTTAAAGTATATATGTAAGTTCCTTAATCAAAAAAGTAAGTTATATATTACAGCAGAATAGTTAGTATGTAGAATTTGCTTACATTTTACTTGATAACATTTGTATATTTGATGTAATTGTTCAATAGAATGTAAGATCGAAAGGAAACTGAGAATGAGAGGTGAGTAAATATAGTTTAATGAGGGAAATGGAATGAAATGGGATTTAAGAGAGAATTCTTTTAAGAGGATGCATGTTCATTAGATATATATATATATATATATATATATATTTTAAATAAAGATAGTATTTTCGATGTAATGTTACAGACTTTCATCAAAGCTTTTACATAATTTCCATATATAACCCAAATATCATGAGCAATATTAGTAACTGTTTGAAATTTTCATGAGCCTAAATTTTGTAGTATATTTCATAATTGGAAATGTAAATATATATTGGAGTAATAATAGAAATTTAATGTGGTGGTATAGGAAAAAGGGTAGATGGTGTTAGGACTGGTGATGTATGTCATAAGTCAAATTCTTAAGTGATGATATATGTCAAATTATGCCTAAATAAGGCATCATTTGTAGAATAGAACACTTTAATGCAATGCAAGCAGAGAGATGAATGAACCTGCTGATTCCAAGCTACAAGCCTATTTTGTTGACTGCTGCAAATGTATGCTTTATGTATTTGCCTTAAAATTGACAGTAGAATGTGGCAGCAGAATACATATTTAGCTGGATAAAAGCTGGAATTATTAAGACACTAAGCATCTCAAAAAGTTGGAAGATAAATAATATTCTGAGGGGGGTCTTTTATTATTTTAGGTCAAGAAAGAAGTGGCCTGAAAAAATCACGAAATTAAAATTTCTTTAGAAAATTTTCTAGCCACCACTCACAAAATAATAAAAAATACTCACAAGATATTTATTATCATCTTTCTGTGCTCATTTACTTAGTGTTTTAATTTGCTTTATTTAGAACCTTTTCAATTGAGATTAGTTATATCATTGTAATAGTTCCAAAAAATCCTGATTTTAAATTTTTGAATATTAATTCTTTTAAAAATTTTCATATTGTTATGAATTTTTTTAAATTTTCTGTGTAATTATTTATTTGGAAAACAAAGTACCCAAATATACTATATTGTAATCCAAATATTTCTAACTCATTGTTTAATACTTTTTCTTTCTCAGATGCTCATATGAATGAAAACGAAACTTTGTCTGAAAATCTTTCTGAGCATGCAAAATATTTGACTTCAAAGGAGATCTCTAGGGAAACGTAAGAAAAAGTTTGAGTAATAAATTGCGTATTATTCTGAATTGCTAAGAAGTTTTAAAGTTTTATTTCCTTTTTCATAAAATTTTGAGATTTCTCATATTTATTCCCCTATTTTATGAGTGATTTTGGTGGTAAACTATGAAAATTTTAACAAATGGCTTGCAGTCTGTCATGTAAACAAACAAAAAATAAAAAATAAAATTCCAATTGTGTTTTACCTTTCACAAAAATAGAAAATACAAATAACTGTGCATAAACAAAAAGCTTTTTTAAATTAAAAACAAGTTTTAAAATCGAAAAAGAAATTTTTAAAAATTGCAAAATATCTCATAAATTACATAAAATAATGAGTAAATTTAATTATGTGGCACAGTTTATGCCAATGCCCGCCACATATTATTTTCTTCTTCTTTAAAAAAAAAACATCTTCTAGACTCTGAGATTTTATTTCTTCTAAATGTGTTGACTATTAGTAATAGGCTCTGCCATTGACCGAAAGTAATAAGTTTTTATTTCATGCCTTAAAGTAAAATTTAATGTTAGTCAGTGTATGATTCTATGCAAGACATGATTTTTTGGAACAAATAAACAGGCAAACAACAAAAACAAAATTTAGCTGTAAATTTAATAAAGGCTTCATAGAAGCCTCCTGCAGCTCTTCAGTGTAGATATCTGGTCTTTTATTTGTTGTACTAATAATATTACTAATAATTATTAACGTTTCTTGATTCTTTGGTTTTCATACCTTATTAAATCGCTTTCTTTTAGGACTTCAAAGTATAATTCAGTTATAAGACCATCTTCAAATGATGACTGGAATAAAGTACGTAAAACTGATTATCTATTCAGTGCTTCTTATGTAAATCATTGGTGCATGTTAACAATATATTAACATCATTTTTCTATGTTGCAATCCTATTTCTGTTTATCTAATAGCTCTTTTTAAGAGATAAAGTATGAGATTTAAAATTTTTTTAAGTATGAATTAAAAGTTTTATCACTAAATATGAAATAAATAAAAAGTAATGAGTTTGTCAGTGATTTTTTTTTCCCTTTTTACAATTCATATGTATCTTCATTATTTTAATTGCAGGATTTTTCTGACATCTTTAATTTTATATACTGTATGAAAAATAAAGAAAAGATTTTATTATGTATTTGTTAATTCAGGATATGATCTATAAGAATATTTTTAACACTTTGAGTCATCTCTTATTGATTCGGTCATTTTTGCTCTTATAATGATATCTTTTGTATTTTGAATAGAAACATATGATAAACACTTTTGATAGCTATTCGTTCTGAGTATATATATATATATTCAGTCTGACTGAGTATATCTGCATTGGTATTTATACGACAAAAGACATTCATAGTTACATTCACTTTTCAAAATTTTCTAATGCATGTCAACCCATGCTTCATATATTTCATTTTTAATGCTGTAATTTCTCTACCGTAGCCTAATTTTCAGAATGATTTCATTGCTGTTGGAAACATTTCTAAAATTTAAATGGAAAACTGCTGATTTTGAACTCATTTTCCAGATGTATAAATCAGAATTTTCTGTGGATTTTGGTTGTCGGATATGCTTTATCATTTTATTATATCTGAATTTTATAATTCATTTGAAGATATATCCATATTTTATGTATATAATGTATAATGTTTTGATATGAAGGCAATCATCATATCTTTTTAGCATGAAATAAAAAAATTTTTTTTTTTTTTTCATGTTATCATCTGCATTAGGATGTGTCATTTTGTTGGCAATTTTGATCTATCATTATACATTATATTGATCTTTCTGCAGAAGTTTTCTGAACATCCCACACTTTTTTATGTAAGTTTGAATAGTAAATCTAGTATCGAGAAATTGCCATATTTAGTTGAATTGTGAACCCATGTTTTATAATACTTCTATTTTTGATGTTTAAGAATGTGTATCTTATGCTTTTCTGGTTAATAATATTGTTTATAATATTGGTGTAATAATATTGTCTTATGTGTGCAGTTTAAGTAATTGCATTTTCACTCTTTCAAAGCCTTGAAAATTTAATTTTGTAAAGTGGAGCTTACTGTATGATACTTGCAAATGGTGTAAATTATCTATATTTCAGTTTTATCTAGATTTAAAATAGAAGTAAGACATTGAAATCCTCAAATCTGGTAAATCTTTAAAAAAATTTAAGATTCATGAAGAAAATTTGAATCTTTACACTTTATTTCATTATTCAAATCTTTCAAATCATAACCTAAAAAACTGTTTAAATGTTCTAACTTGAAACCTGAGAGAGATTTTTTTTAGTGATACCTAGTAGAAACATTAATTAAAAGAAAAACTTGATTGTTGTAGTTACAGCGGGGCTTAGTTTGCTAAAATTATTTCGTGGAGGCCCTGAATGTCCCACACTTCATTTTCTGGAGATAATTTATGTTCCACATTCAGTGTTCATCTGTGTCTCACTTCAATACTTGCATTCATTAGAAAATATTCTGGAAAATAAAAGAAAGGAAAATTGTTGCTCAAATATTTTTGTCTGATTTTTCTGAGAAAGTTGAACCGCAAGACTCTGATATTTGAATTATGTGTTTGATTAATTAAATTTCATCAGTGTCTTGTAAATATAGATTTGTTTTAAAAAACTGTTCTGAAATTTATTTTTCATTTAATGCAGGTGTCAAATTTTGCTTTAATTAATAAGATTTCATTATTATTAATATTATTATGTAAAAGATTCAAGAAAGTTGAGAACCTATCAGGACTCGGAGTTGGAAAACTTTAAAATTTGTTCAGGCCTCTAATTTAAGTTTAAATATGAAAACATTTAGACTGGAGTTAAAATATTATATTTTAACTAGCAACAGAAAACAAATGGTTGTAATTTTAGGTCTACCATAAGATTTATTATTTCTAGCTAGAGCGTATTTAATTGTTTTTTCTCAAGTATCTTATAGCTTGTATTCTTCTAAAGAACCATATCTGTTTCCACCATGCTTACATAATTGTTTTAATTGCTAAAGCATTCTTTTTTTCCCTCATGAGTTGTAAAATATAGTCAGAGTTAACAAAAGAATTGTGTTATAATTTTTTATAAATATTGTTTTTAGTTCTAAAATATGAACTTTTATTGTCTGGTCTTAAGTCAAAATATCTGAAACATTTATATCAGAAGATATGAAAATTAAAAGTATTTCACAGTGGTACTTACAGCTTAATTGTTAATTGTGCAATGTCTCTGTACTCTTACATTTTCAAAGATTTATAGATTTAGTAGATACAGTATTTTTTTTCATAGAATCTTATATTAAAATTAGAAAAGATTAAAAATGATAATCTAAGATTAGCATTTTTATTCATGTGTTGTTTTCTTTGTTTAATTGCTTATTAACTATGTGATAAGAGTACATATACAAAGGGTGTTCACATGTTTTTGCTGTGCACACAATACGTAGAAGTAACAAATTGCATCTCGATTTTCAAGATAAAGGTCCTTTTCTTAAAACCATGAAGGTTGATTTTTTTCCACTCCTCCTTCACAATCTTCCAGAGACCATCCAATGTTTGGGGATTCCGCTTATAAAGGGCTTGTTTTAAAAGTCCAAATGCCCAATAATCCATAGAAGACACATCAGGGAACTTGGGTGGGATGTGTTTAAAGGAATTAGCTTTAATTCTGGTTTCATTTTATTATTTTTTTCAGAAAATAGAGTGATATGTTTAGAGGTATGGCTTGGAGCCTTATCTTGATGGAACTTAGTGAAAATTGTTTGGGTAAAGAGATGGAATTTCTTTTTTAAAAAATTGGTATTAAAACATATTTCTGATAGTAATCCAAATTAATTTTGACATTTTTTTTTTACTTTCCTTATTTTAAGTTTTCGTTATAACAGAATCCAGTAATAAGCACAAAACTTTTAGAAAATGTTTTCTTGTTTTCTCTTAACCAACATATTAAGTATTTTTCTCCTCTTTTTCGGTTGTAAATCGATCTTTTTTCTATTGCAGTCAGATAAGTATATCCAAACCTCATCAATTGAAACCATACATTTCCATTTTTCACCTGCCAAATAATTTTCATATAGCAATCTTCACATAGTCTTTTACGCTGAGAAACGTGTTTCGCAATTAGGTGATGAACATCAGGTTTTTTTGTTGTGATTAGCTTTAAATCAGATTTTATAATTTTGTTCTCAATTCCTACAGAGATATTTAAAGATTTTGCAGTAGCTCTTTGGGGGGGGGGGCTGAATTTCCTTTAAAGCATGAGAGGCGACTTTAAATTTAATAAGAGCTGTATGCACCTTTGTTGGCTGTGCATTTTTTGCCTTTTTTCCAGTCAGATGTAAACTTTGACATTTCTTTCTTACATATTAATTATGTCACTTATTTTATGTGCAGAAATATTAAAACCATGCTTTTCACATAATTTTTTTAAATTATTGAATACGTGTATTTCTCTTCGGACAGTGCAAAAATATTGCCTTTGATCTATTGTTTATTTTTCAGTAACATTTTTTAAAAAAAGAATATTTTTAATGCTGCAGACGATAACTAAACCATAGTCCAACTGGATGCAAATCAGGTGTATATTTTGAAATTAATATTTAAATTCATAGAGAAAATCAAAATTGTTACAAAAAATGTGTGAACACCCTCTGTACTTTTAACATGCGTAATATGAGTAATCTGGCATAACGTTACTTCATGAAACTGAAATACCTAGCAAATAAAACAAGAGTTTATATTTTTAATGTTATCTGTTAATTTTAACTTAATGATCTGAAAATTACGTAGACTAATTCCCATTTATGTATTTGGTTGGAGACTATCTGATATATCAAGAAGATGAAATCTTCTCATCTGAATATCTGAATCTGATTATCTGAATATTCTGAATATCTTATTATGATATGATCTATAATCCTCATGCATAATTTGAAATATTAAAATGATGCTTGTCTTTCTTGTTATGATATTAAATAAATTTAAAAGAAAGATTAGACTCTTTCAAGGAAAATTAAGATTCAAATGCATATTCATTTCATTTCAGTATTTTGTGATGACCCTTAAATTTGAGTTTTAAGCTGCTCTTGTATGTAAAAATGTTTGTTTGCATTAAAATAAAAATATAACAAAACCATATTATGTTATCATTTGATTCAGTTTTTATTATTATGAATGAAATAATATGATAGCTATTTCATTTCAGTAATTTCCTTTTAAAGTTTTTTTTTTTAATTTTAATTTTTATTTATTTATTTATTTATTTTTTATTTTAATTTTTATTTTTGTAGTGGAGAAGCAAAGCATCTGATAGTGAATGAGCTTAGAAGAATGAAGAAAGTGCCTCACCGAAAAGATAAATTTTTTGTTCCCTAAGAAATTAAATCTCTTTGCATTATTTTTGTATAAATATTAAATGTTTAGATGCTAATTGATAAGCAAATCAGAGATTTTTCTCTCAAAATCTGAGCAATTTTTTCCATAACCATTTCAAAAATACAAAAATCTGTTAACGTTAAATGTGATATAGTTAGAGTTTAAATACTTCATGATGTAATATTTCTAATGCATGTAAAGATATTTTATATTCTCAGATTTTATGACATTATGAATGCATGAAGTGTCTATAATTAAGAAAGCTGCTTTGATACATGCTAGTGTCATGTGTCCAAAATGGGAAATTTTAAAATATTTTTAAGTCGGTTATTTGTGTGAAGTGTACTAAAAAAATAAATATATTTGTTATTTAATAGAAATATGATTAACTGTTTGCATTTGTTTCTCTGATTGTAATAGTGCAGTAATAAGAAACACAATGCTGTCAAAAAAATTTGTCTTCACTTTATTATTCAGGTTTATAGCAAGTAAGAAAAAAGCTAATTGTGCTGATTGGTTTTATTCTTCTAATTTCAAACTTGTTTATCTAACACTATCTTAAGAATTTAAAAGTTATATCTTTTGTTAACTGTAAAATTGCAGATTTTATTGTTGTTTTTATATCTAGAAATTTTTTATAACTGTTTTATATGCTGTGAGAGAATTTTTATAGATATTTATTTTTATTAAATAAAATTGTACTTTGTTTGTAAAACATTTATTCTGTTTTATACATTAAAATTGTTAAAATGTGTGCAAATATATATAATTAAATCATTTATTAATTAGCATTGCAGTATGTAGGGACAGTTAGTTTTGCATTTATTGTTTTGTATATGTGTGAAATTAATATGTTTTAGCATAAAATCTTAATATTGGATGTTTAAATAATTGTTTAAATAGTTAATATGTAAGTGCTGTATTTTTTCTCTTTAATATTACATTTTCTCACATTAATATAATATGTATGTACATAAATTTGGCAAAATTATACAGTACAAAGTCCGAGATCCGGCCTTGGGATTTTTCCCAATATTATATCATCAATTTAAATCTAGTAAGGTGGCATGTAGAAGTTATAAAATTAAAAATATGAAATCATGATTTATGAAAGAATGAAGTATTTATGATCTAAAAGGTATCAAAATTTACAACAACAAAAAGTCTTAATATTTGTTTACTTTAATCATTTCTTTCAATGAAAGTTGCTTAAATTGCTTCATTTTTTGTACTAATACTTCCTCTAGACAGATATAATATCTTGTTTACTTACAAAGTTCCATTGTAATTGCTGTGTCTAGAATTTCGATTAATTTGTCAATCGAAATTTCTTATTTTCAATAACTTCTCTGTCACTTTCTTCACTATTGATAGCGGTATTTTTTATATCTATAACCATATTACAGATTTTGCCGTCCATTAATTAATTGATGATTTTGCCATTGTCATGGTTATGAAAAACTTCTGTTATATCATCTTCATTTATTACCGCTTCTCCTAATTTCTTTACAAAATACATTAATTTGAAAATTTCACCTTTGGTGTGTGATATCCAAAAACCTACATGATCATCCTCACAATGAAATATGGTAGCTGGCCATAAATTATGCCAAGCATTTTTTTAAGTATCTGGAGATACATCCTCCCATGATCTTACGATGCTCCACACAGCAGATTTTATGCTAAAATATTTCAAAAATTCTTGAATAATCTTGCTATTAGTCAAGAAATTTAACATGGATTTTAAAAATGCTACTTTATATGTGCATTTCAGTTCGCGCATTATTCTGAACGTACAATTTGGAGGAAAAAATAATACAGATACATTATCTTTAAATGAAGTATGAGCGTAACAGTTGTCTACAATTAGGACAATTTTTGAGATATCATTTAAACCAACCAAATTAAAATGTTGCTGAACCTCTGGTATGAAATGATTTTCAAACCAATCATTGATTAACACTTGTTTCATCCATACTTTTTTATTGCACGATATATAAAGAGGAAAATCTTTACTCTTTAAATGATCAAGGTCATGTATTTTTTCTGATTAACAAAAAGTATACACCTGTGCATTCCTTCAGTATTGGCGCATGGTAAAATTGTTAGTCTCACTTTGGAATCTTTGGCACTAGTTTGGAGCCTTTACTGTAGAGTTTTCCAAGGTATTCGCGGTACATATTGCCAGAAAAGACCAATTTCATTAGCATTGTAAATTTGTTCTGGAAATAACTTTTCACCCTTAAGGAATTCAGTGAATTCATCTGTAAATAGTTCAGCAGTTTCAGTATCAGCTGAAGCTTTTTCACCTAAAATTTTTAATTGCCTCTTAACATGGTGAATTTAAATTGGTTAGTGAACTTTTGGAATATGTGTGCTCAATTTAAGTTAATTTTCTTCATGAAATATTTTGGATTGAGCCATCATTATTGGATCCATCAAGGCGCGCCCTTGTTGCGATGCTGTCTGACCCATTCAGTCATCACTTTGTCATGATCGTCACTTTTAGCATGACAAATCATTTTTCCGTTGTTCATGCGAGTGGGGTGTTAGAATCTACGAAAAATTACTTTTTCCATTTTCTTATATACAGTTGACTTCCTACTGCCATACTCCTTGCATAATTTTGAGACAGGTATATCTTTATCCACTTTTTTCTGTAATTCCACTTTTTGTTTAGTGGACATTGAATTTGCTTTGTAGATCCTGTTGCAGCTCCAAAATTAGATACTCTTTTCAACATAATCGGAAATTCAAACCTTAACTTTCGTAAAATTATTGTAATAATAAGAGTGTAAAAAAAAAGGGATCAAATCAGAAATTTAAAGAACAGCACAATCTGTTATATTAACTGAAATTTTTTGGAATCAGTAAAGTATAATATTAACTTAACTAAACAACTTCCATTATACATTATTGGTTATGTGTCATGAGATTGGCGACGAAAGATAAGTTGTTCCATTAAATTTTGTCTTGCTTCTGTCGCACACTGAGAAAAATTAAGCCTAACTTTTATTAGTTTATTTATTTATTATGCTTACTTCCAATTCTTGCACATGCTTAAAGCTCATCAGAGTTCTGAATAAATAAATTCCTATATATACTTAAGGCTTGGCAGTAGCCTGCACTAGATCTCTTACCACCTAATTCAGTCTCTGCAGGTCTGCTACCAATCCCCTCCCTAAGTTCTGTTCTAAATTTTTGCCACTTCTAAATTTTGAGTCCCAGTGCTTTCCCTAAATTGTTCATCCCTTAATTTTGTTGCTTGGTGCTTCTTGAAATTCCAAAAATCTTCTGTAAACTCTTCCACCTGGATTGGCCTTACAAACTTTGCCATCGGTTTTGGGCTTATGTAAATAACTAAGTTACTCTTATTTCAAATAGCACTAAATGTAATCTTGTAGCCTATGAGTATCATTAACATAATTTATTTTTAGCGTATGGAAAGAAATTTTTCTTAAATTTTCCCTCATCAACATTTGTTAGCACATTTAACTTAAATCTGTAATTATCCCCAAGCATAATGTCAACATAAAAGGATATTATACTCTTTATTATTGAATATACTACTAATATAAAAAAATGTTTAGGCATTGCTACATGAGTCATTTCTCAAGTTGCCATGTGTTGATAAGCATGCGGTGATGAAAGCAAAATATAATAAATAATGGTTCACCAGGTTGGCATCAGGGATATTAAAATATTAGCAAGTATAAAATCAACTTACTATTTACTACTAGGTATTTTATTTAGTGTGGAAGTGAAATTAAGAATCGGGTCTCTCCACATGTTTTATTATGTGAGAAAAATCAAATGTGCGTACTAAAAAAAAAAAGGAAATTGTTTGTGGCTTTGAGGTCTGGATATTGGACATCCGGTTCTCGAACTTTGTATTTTATATATATATATATGTGTGTGTGTGTGTGTGTGATGTATACACACACTTGCATACACAGGCATGTATATTTATATATATTAGGGTATTCAAAATATGGCCTAAACAACTGGAATGGTTCAAAAAGTGTAATGATTATATACCATATCATCTTGCTTTTCCCTAGCCTTTTAGTACCAAGTTCTGAAATTTTTTTTAAATATTTGCGTCTTTGTGCATTCAGAGAACAAATTACCCTAAATTTTACCCACATAGTGATTGTTTTAGTCTTAAACAAAGACAAAACCTCACAAACTACCTGAAAATTTCATGTCAAACTTTTTTGTATGTGTGTGTGGTAGTGGAACTTTATGCCAGCTTAATACAACCCATCATAGCAAAGCAAACATGAATTGACAATCAGTCTAGGATTTCGATGAGTCAGCTGCACATTCATCTTCCCTAAATTGCCTGTGAATGATTTGAGGTCTAAGGAATAGCAGAAGCAGTAAAATTTACCAAGATTCATGTTTCAGGGAAGTAGAAATGAAGATATTTTATTAGATATTGTTAATATTAGTATGCTTTCTTATTTGAATGTAGGTTTCTATTAAAGAAATGATATTGTGATAGTTATCTGTGATTTATCCATCTCTACTTTTGATTAGTTATATTCACATCCATTCAAAGTTAAATTATTCACTCTTCTGGATTTTCGGATGATAAAAAGTTGGAAGAAAAGGAAGGAAATTTGCAAGAAATACAGTATTTGAAAATCATGTTATTATTCAAAGTAAAGCTTACATGCTGTAATACTTCTTTCATAATTTTCTGGTTTCTACTCGTCTGAAAGAAAGTGCTTGGATGGGTGCATATCCACTGTCAAACTGTAGCAGTAATGATCCTACAAAAATACCAATGACTAAATTGCTTTATAACTGTGATGTTGCAGGTTTTTCTCTTTGCGTATGTGTGACAGATACTACCCCCATATAGTGTGTAAATTCTGTTCAAAAATTTAGAAATTGAGATACCTTCTTTTCCTAAAACTGTAATGATAATTCTTTGTTTTACACAATTTGTTTTCCTCCAGAATACACCTCACTCTATTAAAAATTGTTTTGCGAAATACTTAAAAATATAATTGATATTTGAATGGGCTTATGGTTGAGTTTCATTTTCACACTGCATGGATATATCTGTTGGTTTTAGAATTACTCTTGTTTTGTTTTTGGATGATGGAATTAGAATTTCAACCAGATTTCATTTTAAAGTGTTTTACATTGTTATCAATTGATACAGCCATTAATTTGACGTTTACAGATTTTCAAAAAAATTTTATATCAATTCAGTTTTTTATTGGCCAAACTGTATATAATATTTAAATTTGTTTTGATTTTAATTCTTACCATTGAATTAGTGCAGCATACAGCATGTGATTTGGCTTAAGGTGTTTTTTTTTTTTTTTTTTTTTTTTTTTTTTTTTTTAAATTTAATTTTTCTGTTTTATTTAGCTTTAGAGGCAGTTATATAAATTTATTGATATTAATATGAATTTGTGGTTAAAATTAGAAGTTGTTTTAAATTTTCATTTACTCACGTAAGACTTCTAATATCTTATATTGTCTGATTTTTGTTTTCATCATGTTAGGTAACTTTACATCATTGAATTGATAAAGAATTTTAAAAAGGTCATGTTAATTTTGCTGAAGTCTGCATATCTGTAATGGTTTTTAACTAAACATTTTCAGCTAGTGGTAGGTAACGATTAAGAGAACAAAAACAATCTAAAACATCCAGAGATTCTTAAATTTAAAATCTGAATTAAGACATAGCGCACAGATTGTACAACACAACAACTAGCTTCCCTCCTCTACCCCCAAAAAGTGCCTGTGGTTACCTTTTACACATCCCATCCTTAAGTTTTTTTTTTTTTTTTTTTTTTTTTTAAGATACAGTTAAATAAACAGTTAAGCTGTAATAAGTACTAAATAATTCAAAATATCACATATATGCGCAGTGATTTCCTTGTGATGTACACCTTTGAATATGAGTGGTCACCTGTACAGAAGGTTTCTACCAAAATTGTCTATAACTATGGTTGGTCATCTTAGAAGAATTATTATATTTGTAGAAACTACAAAATAACTTAAAGTTGGCCTAGGATAGAACTTGTAGCTGAACAAAAAGAGCATCGTAAGATCAACAATAGTAATAAACATGTAAAGTATTCTTCTTTTGTTACAATTGTAGTCTCACTTATTTTGGTAACATACATTATGTCATGACACCTATGCAAACTTAAGCGACTTATTGCTATGTCTAGGTAAGCAGAATACTGAGGTGTAAAAGTTAATTTTATTATGAACTCAGTAAGTTGAACAGAAGAAACTTCCGGTGTTTACAAATCAGCCATCATTTATGGCATGAATTCAAAAGTAGAATTTCAAATCAAACTAAATCTAAATCAAACAAAATTAAGCTAAATTTAAGTCTTACTAAGCCAAAGGGTATACTGAAATATTTAAACATGCAAGTTGGCTGTTAACCTACACTACTGTGGCAGCACAGTCAGTACTAATAAAGCAACACCATAGACAGGAATCTTTATTGTAGAATAATTAATAGTAACTTGGCCTTCAGCAAGCAGAACATGCTCTGACTAAAACAACCCCAAACCGCCACTTAAATACTCATGAGCTAAATTTGCATTCTGGCAGGAAAATGGAAAGAAAGAAGTGGAAGTATAGATTCGTAACATAAAATAACCGGTTAATTAACATAAATACTTTGCACAGTTCAAATAAATACACATTATCATTTTACATATGTGTATTACTCATTTAGTAGTGCAATTTTCCATAATTTTACCTAAAGTATTTTGATTAGATTAGGATTGCTCTTTATTTCAGGGAAATCCTGCATTTTATTTCTAGATGTATTTATATGATCTGGAAATTCTGAATGTCTTAATATTTATACATTTTTGTATTTAAAACTTCATATAACTGGTTTACATAATTTAGAATTGTTTGTTTGCATCCATTAAGTTTCACTTGAATTTTTCACATGGAGAACAAGAATCATTTTTGTCTGAAAGAATAATCTCTAATTATATGCAGATTTTTATGATGGTTGTGTATTTTTAGATTCTCACATTTCATGTACCTGAAGTAGCAGATGTTTTGGGAAAATGTAAAATGAAATATTTACACATATGACACAGTAAAGAATTTACACTTTACTGTCAGATATGTTTTTAAATACCATTTATTTTTCTGTATAAATCACAGAATGCTGAAAATAAAAGAGGTGTAATAAATTTTTTCCCCTTAAAATGAATTATAGATGCTACTAGTGTGATTTTTCTTCATCTGTAAAATTGTTGTGTTCATGTCTAATCTGAAATTCTTCTTTTGGTTTTTGTAATCGTTGTTTGTAATTGTTTAGGAACTATTCTGTGTGTAATTAATGTAGCTAGACTGTATTCTATACTCCTGTAACTCCTTAAGTCTTAATATTTTTCATTATTGCTTTTAGTTTTTGTTTAGCATTTTTAATAATATAGTGAAATATAATTTTTTATGATTATTATTTGTTTTTCATTTTGTTAGAGTAAAATATCCACCTGCATATTTTAATTGATTGAAATTAAATTATATGTAAAAAAATGATTTTGAATTTTCTAGCAAAGCATTTAGAATTATATATAATATTTAGGTGATGTCTGAAATAAAAAGAATTTTATTATTATAAAATTAAAAATTTCTCAGATTAAGGATATATATATATATATATATATATATGTAATAGATTATATAATATGAATCCATAATGAACAACGGGAATTTTAATGCCTTAAGAGATGTTGAAACTGCAGTCCACAGTGAATAAGAAATTTGGCAGTCGAGATAGATTTAATTCAATTTTTATTTCAGCAAACATGTTGTGGCCACAAACAAGTTGGCACAGTATTTATGCCTATTCCAAAAGTTTACATTTTTGATAAATTTGCAATAAGAAAGAAGGAGCAAACGGTCTGCAGTCCAGTTAGCCAAAGAGTAGAAAGCAAGTGTGTAATGTTCAGGGTGAAATCTTAATTCTGACTGAGTTTTGGTTTTCAGTGCATTTTGATTAGATAATTAATGCTGCTGTAAAATTACTATTGGCTGCTTTAGTTTCATTTACATCATCAGAATTATGTAAGAGTCATAATACATGGATTAATCTCGAAATGACACAGTGTAGAGAGATTACTATTTTTAGAATAGAGAAGGAAAACCAATTTATGCTGCTAATTTAATCTTTTACATATTCTTTATTTTTCTTACATATATATAGTTAGGCTTTATAATTTCAGAGGATTCAGTTCTTCAGAATTGTAAGGTATTAAATAAATTTAAAAAATCATGTTTCCCTGAAATTCCCTTTATGCAAATAATTCATATAAAATCTATAACAAACTGAAAATATTTTAAAATAATAATTGCAGTCTAAAAATCAAAGAAAGTGAATTATAGTTTTATTTTTTAATTAACAGTTTGAAAACCGTGTATGTTATCATTAATTTGTGCAATTCTGTTTTTTCACAGAATACTTCGTTATTTCATGAAATAACTGATCAGTTCAGTAAAAATGTGTAATAAATTAATAATTCCATGCTTTAACCAGTTATTTCATTGATAAATTTGTATTTAATAAATTAAATATGATAGGCAGTTAAATTGTAAAATAAGCTATTTAACTCAATTACACAGTATGCAAAATGCCATGTATACAAAGACACAATAAAATCATTTGTAGCAAAAGAAATTAGTAAAATGGCACTGGGAACTGCATAGAACATTATTTCTAAACCAAATCTCATAGTATTTTATTGACACACTGTGTTTTTATGTGAACATTTTTTAAATATGTCACCAGTACCTAAACTTCAGATGCAGCAACCAACTAGAGCAATTTTTATATATCCGTCACTTCTTTGATCATAATTAGTTTTTGTCAGACTTAAGGTGGGATTAGGAATATAACTGTTTTATGTTGGCATTTCTTGTTCCAATATGAAAAAAAAAATCCTTCTTTTATTGTTTTCATAACAGCAGCTTAAATAGTTTCTCAGTACCTGAAGTTGACAGAAGAAGAAGACATCACTTCACTTCTTCTTCTGTCAACTTCAGGTACTGAGGAACAGACTGTAAGTCCCACAGAGACTTCAAAGTGAGATTTATCAGGCAGTAATTTCATTTTCTTAACTTTCTTTATAGTTTTCTCTTTCCTTAGGTGCAACTTCTTCTGCACGACTTTGTCTTCTTCACAAACAGTTTTCTAAATTGACTGTGTTCTTAAATATTATTGCTCTTAAACAAAATAATTCTTAAGCATTATTATTATTATATATCATGTTATAGTGAGTTGATAATAGCATTCTGCGTTTGACCAGTGAATTTCATTACTGAATTTATAACTTTGATTAAAATTACTCTGTATATCTCAATACTGTAGCTAATACTAACAAATTGAGTTTCATCTAATTTTAACTAACAGTTAATTTTATTTTGGAAGCAACCTTTCCTATAAACTTTTTTTTTTCAACCCATGCTTCCTTGCCAGAATGAGATTTTAGTTTCAGGCATTATGCAAAATAGGGTAGGAAGTTACTGTTTAAACTGGTGTGTGAGTTACTTCAGACAGAGCATCTTAAGAGCATGGTCTGCTTTTCAGCCGTGTTGTTTCTCTGCTAGTTAAACTTGCTATTTTATGGCTGTGCATATTAATTGACAGTTAGTCTATGAATATGTAGCTAAGAGCCTACTACACATTAAATATCTCTGTACAGCTGCGGCTAATTTATTCAATTTAGGATCAGTTTTTAATTTTGCGTTTTCTATTTTGAGTTGCTGCCAAAATGAAGTCCTGTATGCATCAGAGGTGCTAACTGTTCATATTATTCTTGAGTTGAAATAAAAGGGTCTTTTTACCCTTCTTGTATGTTGTTCCAAGTTGAACGTAGCTAATAGTTGCTACACGTTTCAAGTTAAGATCTAGCCTCCAAACAACTCAGCTAGAATTAATTACAAATTAGCTAGAATCTTATAAAGTAAGATGAATCATGGCAGTTAGTTTACTCTTTAAGGAGATGTAGCCTGTTATTTTATCAAATAACTAGTTAAGTGGGGAATTATTAATTTTTGAAGGATATCTGTCTGTTGTAAGTAACCAATAATGTTTGATTTTTTTATAACTGAAACTGCTTACTCTTTTGTATTTCAGAGAGTAGTTTTATCTGTTAGAGAGAAAATCAGATGTGATTGAGAAATTTTACATAGAGGGCATTTTTTCTTATAAACTTATATCAGCTCAAAAGTTCAAATATAAGTAGTGATATTTTCAGCTTAGCTTCGAAAATATCACTTTTGAACTCTTTTGTGCAACTCTCCTTTATCATATCAAATTTTTATTATGACTATGATTTCAGTTCCATTAAAGTAATATTAGCTATTGATCAAGTAACTGATTGCCTAAGTGAGATGAGTAAGAGATCAGCTACTATTTAAAGAAATAGTGTCATGTTTTTCTTTGAGTTTTAATGCTCATTATGTATATTTATGATATGACAGATTTTATGTTCATTTTCCGAGTCTGATATGTTAAAATCTAGCATTTACTTCAGTAGAAATTTCTCTAATAGTATTGTATATATTCAGTTTTAAACAGTTAAGTTATAATCTATTTGTTGGGAGAAAATGAAATTTATAATGCGGTCTTGTAATTACATGCTTTATTACTATTTACAAGGCTAATTTTAAAAAACATACTTTAATATGGTAAAATTTGTTAAAAGCAGAAGTATTAACTGAAACATAGGAAAAGCTTGCATTTTCTCGTTAAAGTAATTTTTAAATGTATTTTATATATTTTTTATTACTTTTGTATTCTTTTCTTTAAAAAAATATCAAACTTAAGAAGGTGCGTATATATACAGTAGTATCTCCTGTGAGGGACACCTCCGAACAAGAGACACAGAAAATGAGTTTCAAAAATAAAATAGAAGTAGAGAAATAAATAAAAATAGAAATACTCTTGGTTAGTAATCTCTTGAGGTTTCAAAGGTTGTGCTTAGTGAAAGATAGTTTTCTGGCAAATGAAAAGGCAATCTGTCTCTTTTGAAAACTGCTTTTCATTTAGGAAAAAGAGAACAACACTCTGGGAAAAAGCAAGTTGTGGTGCAATCAAAAGGATATTTCACATTCAAAGAATTCAAAATCCAGTTATTCTTGATTGCCAATAAATCTGAACTGAAAACACCAGTACTCCCAACTTTTCGTGCTGCGAATGGATCATCCATTAATATCTGTGTAATAATAGTCGTGAAACAGTAACTGTTAATTTTGGTTTAAGACACATTTTTACTTTCTCTTTTTATATTTGTAATGTTACCTGCTCGATGATAAATGCAGATTTTTTATATTTCTTATATTTATCTCCTGATTGACGTAATAAACATCTACTTGATTTAACAACAAATTTTAAAGTACTTGCGAAATTAAATATTTATAATATTCTTTTTGTAAAATTCACATGTGTTAATAACGTATTTGGTAAATTATTGTTACAATATCATGATGTTACTGGATCCTGATCAACCTGTGAAACACAATACTGGGCATTATTTAAAATACTAAAGATCCTCCAGTTGCTGTTAAACCTAGACAGTTAGTTGCTGACCGCTTCGAAATTGCTAAACCTGAATTTCAGCTCATGATTCTACTGGGTCATATGAGACATTCAAAAAGCTCCTACTCTTCGCCTTTGCATATGGTGCCCAAGAAAGGCTGTTGAATGGGGACTTGTTGCCCACTATTGCGTTCTTAATGCATAGTCTTTCGAAGAATAGTATCCTATTCCATGTAAAGCTGATTTTACCTCATCTGCATGGTAAACAAATGTTTATTCACATTGATCTCATCAAAGCATATAACCAAATTTCAATACTTTCATTCAATTTTGATTATGTGCGTAAAACAGCTATATGTACCCCCTTTGGTTTGTTTGAAAGTTTGAGGATACGGTTTGGTCTTTGTAGTGTTTTGTCAACCTTTTAATGTGTCTTCTAATAGTAAACATGAGAACATAGAGCATTTAAACATGTTATTTTCCAAACTTTAGGAATATGGTTTATGTATAAATGTCAAGAAATGCAAATTTGGTCAATCTACCAAAGATTTCCCAGGATTTAAGTTATCGAGTGAAGGAATTGAACTCCTCCCTGATCGTGTAAAATGCATCCTACATTTTCCTCAGCCCCAGACTCTCACACAATTACGCCGATTCTTAGGTTTATTTAATTTTTATTGACGCTGTATTCCTAAATTCACACATTCTAACACCCTTAGTCAAATTCCTTGGAGGCCATACTATTAAAAAAGACATCCTCGTTCCAAATCTTCTAACAAGCGATTACTTACTGGGATGATGAAGCAACACTCTCCTTCAAAGTATCTAAGGAATATATCGCTAAAGCAATGTTGTTACGGCATCCCATTCCCAGTGCACAATTAAGTATATGGGTTGATGCGTCTGATGTAGCAACC